CGCGCCACGAGACGCAGTGTACGCTGAAACGATCGCGTGGATTCGAGTCTGGTTTAGTGAGGTGCATCGAGAAATTTTTGGGAAACGCATGGCAGGTGAATAACCAAGTGCGCGTACGGTTCAACTGTTTTTACGATTTTCCAGTGGCCGGTGGCGTAAACGGTTCGATTACGTGAATTATAACAGTATTCTGGCCTCTCGACGAGGCCACTCGGCGCGGCTCGTTCGCCACGCAGCAATAGACGCCTCGGTCGGTGGAATAATCGAAGGAAAAAAGGGGCGGAAGAAGCTCGGTGAATTCACGAGTGGCTCATCGACCGTTTCAAAAGTTGGAGAAACGATCGCGAATTAATCTTCCGATTAATTTGTAGAGCTCGCAACCTGCGAACGAAAGAACACCGCGTCGTCATGGTCGTCGTGACCACGCGGATTTTTCCAACGAAAAAGAAAATAAAAGATGACCGGCTCGATGCTCGGAAAAATTCCACCACGATTCTTTCGTGTATTAGTATCGGTATCGGCTTAACGAGAACTTCGGAATTAATGCGCCGTTGATTTTAACGCGTTCTAGGAAGGAATTGAAAAGAGAAGAGGCTCGGCTACTCTCTTTGGTTCCAATCCTTCCTTTATTAATTCAGAAACCGAGTGGTTTTAGAGGAACTATAATTAAAATCGGGCTTCTCATCCCTGCCATTACGCTGCGTACCACGCTCTTCTTTTAATTTCGGCTTTCCCGTTTTAATTACTTTCTTGAAAATACGTAGTAATATCAAAATTCAGTATTCCCAGTATTTCGCGAATAAAAATTTCCTACAATTATTCGTTGAACCGTAGTAGACCCGAGCCTCGTGTTGGTACGAGCGTGTTTCAAACATATCGAATGTACCGTACTGTTCTAAATTCCGAACGTTCGGTTCGTTCGAGAAACGTTACGATTTTCCACTTTGCTCTAGTCGGATCATCGGTTACCAATGTTCCCTCGAATACCGCAATTAAACAACTAATAATACCGGTAAATCTACCAGTTACCGCATATATTCAAGGTGGTTGGTAACTGGTGGTACAAACGGAAAGGGGGTGATTCTACGCGAAAAAGAAGTCGAAAATATAGAATAAAATTTTTTTTTTTTCATTTTTCCATCGAGACACCGATCTACAGCGAGATCCGTTATAACGTACCTCACGCGTACCGAGCGAAAATTCAAAGCCGATTTCCTCGAAAACAAAGCCTCAAACGAAAAATTTTTATTCTATATTTTCGACTTCTTTTTTCGCGTACAATCACCCCCTTTCCGCTTGTTCCACCAGTTACCAACCACCCTGTATATATAGATAGGAAACTCTCGTTTCCTACAATTCGACAGCTTTACACTAAATACGATGATCGGCTGATTCGCGGATCCAATCGACCATAGGCAACAGTTTCGTTCGTTTTAATTAATAAACTTTCTCGCATAACGCGAAAAAAATTTGTTAGCGTCGACAATTCGTAACTCGCGCGACTCGTAAAATTTGACGAAAGATGTTAGCTCTTTTGGTGGCGGAACACGGAAAGGGAAGAGACGGGCGAATTTTAAAACTCGATTCGCGTCCATAGACAATTCTCGTCGATGCTAAGAATACGGATCAACGTTTCGACACTTGTCGAAGTTCGAATTGGTTCGAACGCTATCCACGTGTAAGTTAATTAGCAAACGACAGTCACGATTGTCGTGCTCGTGTCGCTGTTATCTCGGATCGTAGGAGCGACGGGTGTCCCGCCGGCGAGGGGTTAACCCGATTTCCCAATTTGATCCGGATTTCGAAAAGGTCACCGCTTGCCGGCGCTCTTCCGCGTCCCGTTGAGTCGGGCATTTTCTCAACGGCGAAAGGTACTCTAATCCGAACCGTAAACACAATAGAAAGTATCTCAGGGAATCTAGGCTACCGAGCGAGCATCGTTTTCGCGCGCCCGTGCTTCCTACGCTCCTCGTCCGTGTGTGCTATCCCCGTGTACGTAACGAGACCTGAATACCGAGCTGCCCTCCAGCCCCGACAAAAATGTTTGACATCCGGTTACCTCGTGGAGAACGGTCTTTTGACGCGCCATCGGCATTTTTTCGGCCAAGAGGGAAAAAAAAAAAGGCAAATGTAAGGTAAGACGCGGCGGTGACGGAGGAATTCGAGAGATGAAAATTAGAAAGGGGACGGAGAGAAAAGTGTAGAAAATGAGGGGCCGGTCGTAGAGGAGAGATCGAGGACGTAAAAAGACAATAGGAGAATCCAGTAGGAGGAACAGGGAGAGACTGGTAATACGATGAGAGATGAAAAAAGGGGTGTAGAAAGAGAGAGAGAGAGGGAGAGGGAGATAGGGAGAGATAAAAATATGTTGGTGTACGAAATTGAGAAGACGATGAAAGAGAGAAGGGGTCGTAATTTCGTGCGAATTCGCGCCTTGTCGATTTTTCCGCGTATTGTACCCTCAGCGTTTTCCGATACGGGGAATTTATTGATTCCCACGATCCACAGACGAGTTCCATGGTGGCTTGGTTGCCTGCGGGGAATTTTAAAACCGCAGTCGAGCGTGCAGCCTAAACTCTCTGCCTTAGATATTACCCTCCGTTCTCGATAAGATACGTTGACTAGTTTACTGACTGGAAACCGGAAAATGATGCGCGTTCCATTCAAAATTATTCCCTACTTTTCTTCGAGTTTGCGCTAACAAAAAAAAAAAAAAAAAAGATTAGAGGAGATGGACTTCGTTTCGAAACGCTTGGAACGGGTAACATGTCTTTTATAACGTGTGGAGACTATAAGATGAAGAACGCGGCAAGTCACGTTTCTATAGAAAACTAAGTTCTCTTCTTTAACGTGGTTGACGATTAAGCCGCACGGAAGCCACTTTGATGAGCCTCGAAAACTACAGAACAGCGACGACGTTACAAGCACAGATTTCTGTGAATTCAATTATTTATTGCTAAATAATTAAATTTTATTAAATGGTGCTAAACTTGAAGGTGCCTCTTGCGATGCAATAAACTCGTGAAAGTGTGTCATATTCTCATGACACGAATGTTATTTTTAAAAAAAAGTCACAAATTACGCGCGCCCCGAAACGAAGTCCGATCGAATGTAGAAGATTCGGCAGAAATTGGCTGGCATCGAACGTTTAACGCAGACACGAATCTTCATCGGAATCCGTGTCTTTTCTAATTCACGACAATTGTAGATTGGAGATTAATCTGGATTTAATTGACGAAATAAACAACGTTACACGGGACAATTGATCGCGTGTCACTTTTCCATTAGATTATAACCACATGTGACTGGACGTCGCCAGTTTTAATCAGAAATTCGCCAAATCAGCTTTCCGATTCGTTTCTAATGGAACTTCATCAGCGGCCGGCGAAG